ACTATGGCTGCAAAACAGGGAAACAAGACTGTTACAGAGTACACCAATCAACTCAAATCATTATGGATGGAGTTAGATCACTACAGGGTCATAAAAGCCAAGTGCCCAGCAGATTCAGCAATGCTCAAAGAGTATATTGAGCAAGATAGAGTCTATAATTTCTTGGTGGGGCTTAACTCTGTTTTTGATCAAGTGAGAGCCCAAATCCTTGGAAAAGAAAAAGTTCCAGGAATTAATGAAGTAGTAGCTATGGTCAGAAGTGAAGAAAGCGGAAGGGGAGTCATGCTAGAAAACCTAACCACGGAAGATTCAGCCATGGTAGCTTTTGGGGCCTCTACCATGATGGCAGACCAGAAAAAGGGGAGCATAAGTAATATGGAAAAGAAAGGTGAAGGAGTGTGGTGTACCTACTGCAACAAGCCTCGCCACACTCGTGACAATTGTTGGAAGCTGATCGGAAAGCCACCTAGTAGAGAATGGGGGCCCCAAAACCGAGACAAGGAGTGGGGAAAAAAAGAGACAACATGAGAAAGGGAGGACAAGCACACATAGTTGCTGCAACCAGTGAAGAAAACAAGGGAGGAGTGATTCAACTTAACCAAGATGAAGTAGAGAAGATGAGATCATTCCTCAACAAGTTGGATAAACCAACAGGTAGTTGATCTCTAGCATATTCAGGTACGTTTGGTGAGTTTCTTCTTTCCTTTGGACTTAATCCCTCAGATAAACACTATAACCAATATTGGATACTGGATTCTGGGGCTACTGACCACATGACACCCCTACCTAAACATTTCTCCTCTTACACCCCTTGCCCTAGCAATAAGAAAATATCCACAGCAGATGGCACTCTGATGACTGCAGCAGGTCAAGGAGAAGTTCAAATAAGCTCATCCAAAACCATTAAAAATGTCCTTCATATTCCTAAACTATCTGTTAGTCTGATTTCCATAAAAAATCATAAAAGACCTATCATATAATGTTATTTTTTATGACAATACTTGTATACTGCAGGACAAGCACTCGGGGAGGACGATTGGACATGCTAGAGAATGGAATGGCCTTTATTACTTGGACAGCCCGAATCTGCCACCAGACCTACAAAATAACAACTCCTTTTTCTCTGACTCAATAAACACCAACAGGGAGAAAGTCCTACTACATCATTGTCGTCTTGGACATCCTTCCTTTAGAGTCATAAAATTGTTATTCCCTTCTCTTTGTAGCAAATTAGATGTGGAGAGTCTTCATTGTGAAGTGTGTGAGCTTGCTAAGCACAAACGTGTACCTTTTCCAGTTAGTAATAATATGAGCACTTTCCACTTCTATTTAATTCATACTGATGTGTGGGGTCCCTCAAATGTCCCAAATGTTTCTGGTGTCCGTTGGTTCCTTACCTTTATAGATGACTGTACTCGGGTCACATGGGTTTTCTTACTAAAACAAACGTCTGAAGTCAGCTCTGTGGTCCAACATTTTTTCTCCATGGTAAAAAATAATTTTGGTGTTAGCATTAAGAGGATTATATTCGATAATGCCAAAGATTATTTTAATCATGAGCTTACTTTCTTTTGTCAAAAGGAAGGTATCATTCATGAGTCATCTTGTGTCAAAACACCTCAACAAAATGGGATTGCTGAGAGGAAAAATGGGCACCTACTAGACCAAACTCGGGCTCTTCTTTTTCAACATAAGGTTCCTAAAAGGTTTTGGGGGGAAGCTGTTTTGACTGTATGTTATCTAATTAATAGACTACCTTCTAGTATTCTAGCCTCAAAAAGTCCTATGGAGGTTCTGTCTTCTTTCTATCCTAATGTGTCCACATCCAATCAACTTGTTCCAAGAATATTTGGGTGTGTATCTTTTATCCATGTCCACAGTGGTGATAGAGATAAACTTGATCCTAGAGCCTTAAAATGTGTTTTCATAGGATACTCATCCATACAAAAGGGATATAAATGCTATCACCCACCATCCAAAAAATTCTGTGTCCAGAGATGTCACCTTTTTTGAGCAAGAAAGTTACTTCCACCAAGATCATCTTCAGGGGGAGAATACAAGAAAGGAAGATGATCTCCTTATGCTCCCTGACTTAAGTTTAGGACCAAAAGTAGGGACTAGAAGTGTAACAACTTCCGAGAAGGAGGCATCTTCTGAGAGAGAGGCTCAACCCACTAAGTCCACTCAAGATGGAGCTGATGTAAGATTTGGGAAAAAGCTGGTTTATACAAAGAAGACAAAGGCCATTTCAGAATCTGTCCATGTCCAATAATCCAACCCAACATTACATGAGGTAACTACCCTTGATCCTTTAATCTCCATTGAACCAATCTCTGATTTCCCCACTGTACAGGAACCCGAATCCAGTTCAACACCACTTCATGAGGACCTAGATATTCCAATTGCCCTTAGGAAAGAGACTAGGAAATACATCACCAAGCCACTTTACCCTCTAGCCAATTACCTATCATTTAAAAACTTCTCACCTACCCATAAAGCCTTCCTCGCAAGCCTAAACACTACAACCACACCTACCTCCTTATCTGAGGCATTGACTGATAGGAAATGGAAACAAGCCATGGACTTGGAAATGGAAGCATTAAAAAAGAATAGCACCTGGGATTTGGTTACTCTCCCAAATGGAAAAAAAACCAGTAGGATGCAAGTGAGTATATACTATAAAATAAAAGGCTGATGGATCCATTGAGAGGTATAAAGCAAGGTTAGTAGCTAAGGGATTCATTCAAACTTATGGAGTGGATTACATGGAAACATTTGCTCCAGTTGCAAAAATGAATACAGTTAGGGTGATATTATCCCTAGCGGTTAATTATGGTTAGAACTTGCAACAATTTGATGTTAAAAATGCATTCCTCCATGGAGAACTTGAAGAGGAGATTTACATGGAATTGCCCCCTGGATATAGTGGAAAAACCGCTGCCAATACTGTTTGCAAGCTAAAAAGGCATTGTATGGGCTGAAACAATCACCACGAGTGTGGTTTGGTAGGTTTACTAAAGTTATGATAGGTCTGAGTTTCAAACAAAGTCAAGGAGACCACACTTTGTTCATTAAACACTCTAAGTCTGGGGGAGTAATAGTGCTACTGGTTTATGTGAACGATATTATAGTGATAGGTGATGATGAGGAGGAGCAACAACTGTTAAGCCAACATCTAGCCAAGGAATTTGAAATTAAGACCTTGGGAAAATAGAAGTATTTTTTGGGAATTGAAGTGGCTCATTCTAAAAAGGGAATCTTCATATCTCAACAGAAATACATCACTGATTTGTTGAAAGAGACTGGTAAGACAGCATGCAAGCCTGCAAGTACACCAATTGATCCAAACCTGAAGTTGGGAAATGCAAAAGAAGATACTGCAGTTGACAAAGAAATGTATCAAAGACTAGTTGGTAGACTGATATATTTATCTCACACTAGACCTGATGTTGCATTCACTGTGAGTCTAGTCAGCCAGTTCATGCACCAACCGAAGGAGGTTCACTTACAAGCTGCACTAAGAATTGTGCAATATTTGAAAGGGACTCCAGGCAGAGGAATTCTGTTTGAACGGAATAGGAGTGTAAGTCTTGAAGCATATACAGATGCAGACTATGCAGGGTCGATTGTGGATAGGAGGTCGACTACAGGATATTGCACTTTCCTTGGAGGGAATCTTGTGACTTGGAAGAGTAAAAAACAAAGTGTGGTGGCTAGATCCAGTGTTGAAGCAGAATTCAGGGCAATGGCCCAAGGGATATGTGAACTATTGTGGTTGAAGATCATCTTTGAAAACTTAAGAATAAAGTTGGATGAACCAATGAGACTTTATTGTGATAACAAATCTGCTATTAGCATAGCTCATAACCCAGTTCAACATGATAGAACTAAATATATTGAAGTTGACAGACATTTTATCAAAGAAAAATTAGACAGTGGCCTGATCTACACTCCATATGTCTCCTCACAAGACAATCTTGCAGATATTCTAACGAAGGGGCTGAATAGCGACAACTTTGAGAAGATTGTTTTCAAGTTGGGAATGGAAAATACCTATTCACCAGTTTGAGAGGGAGTGTTAGAATCTTTTTTATTAACTGTATTATTTCTGTCAGAATCAGTGTTTTATTAGTTGTATTATTTCCTTATTTAGCAGATTACAATTATAGTGTATGAGGGAAATATCCCTGAATCATAGGGATCTGATAGTTTAGATGTTATTGTCAACATAAAAGATATAAAAAAATCAATTCATTCTACCCTAATTTTTTAGAGACATATTCTTTTTAAGAGAGAAAATGATCACTAAAACACTCAATGTGCATCACATACCGACAGTAGATCAGTATGCTGACCTCCCTCCCTCTCTTAGAGTGGTGGATAAAGGTTCTCTATCCTAGACAGCTCATCATGGGTTTGAAGGGGAGCTATTAGAGTATCTGCACTATTATTGGAGTCTCTGCAGTAAATAACAAACTGTTTTTTTGGTAAGCAGAATAGATTAAGCTAGGTTTTTTGTTTTAACAAACTAATGTTGAGTCAGCATAGATCAGATAGCTTCCATTCTGTTGAGTCATCAAGATTGTAACTAACTCACATTAGTTACAAGCCTCTCTAAATAACTGTCAGCTATTAATCTGTAATAGATTTACCTTTTCTATCAATTCATAACAGAATTTCTATCTCTCTCTACTCTAGAATATTCTCAATGATGAATTCTTCATCTTCTTTCACTTTCTAATATTCTGTAATGTAATCATGTATCTTTGAATGGTGTTTTAATTGGGTTGCTTTTTGCACCCTGGTTCTCAGAGAATGGGACCCTAGTAATCCAAAACTCGTGCTGAGAGGTCATGACGCATTCCTTCAAATTACCTATTTGTTTCATGACAATCCATCACATTTTTATAAATGTATGCATGCTTATGTGGTTCACTCACTTGTATGAAAGGTTTTTTAAGTTCAGGGTTTAAAATTAAAATTGTAGTTTTTTGTGGACTTTATGAAACTAGTATACTCATGTCTAGTAATGATCCAACTGAAATTGCAATATATGAAACTACTAAGGCAAAAGTTAAAGTACCTATGCTAAAGTAATTGTAGAACACGCCTTCATAACATATAACTTTCTCAGGCAGTTCTCCCTCTACTTCTAAGTCCTGCAAACATAAGGAGCTTTGTAATTTTATACTGTTCTATAAAATTATATATAGAAAACTTGAATGGCAAAAACTTTATACCCAAAACAATCTAACATTCGACATAAACAATACACAAGTAGTATGATGACTCGTAATAGGAAGTTAAGAATTCAAGTGTCTAATCTGTGCAATTATATCATCTTTTAGTATTTAAGAGTGTTTCAAATGATTATTTTTCTAAGGAAATCACAATACAGTATGAGAATTGAAAAAATAACTCACTACTGAAAAAAAGTACTGCTAGCTTCATTATTGCAAGAAGCATGTCTATTAAGTGTTGGCTGAAGTCATTGCTAGTGTTAACGGCCTGTTTATAGCACAAGCGCTTTTCAAAATAAGCACTTATGAATAAATTTGCATAAGCTATTTTTATAACAAATTTTTATATATGTTATAATGGAGAAGTTATAAAAATAAGTTGAAAAAAGTTTATAAAAAATGTTATTGTTTTTGATAAGGTTTCCCCTCAAACAATGTCATAAAACTTATGTCAGTATATAAGCTCAAATAAGTCAATTCCAAACAGGCATTGTCCGACTTATTTCCTACTAGAAATGTTCATAGGATGACTCCTCAAAAAGCTTAGAGTGATAAAATGGCAAATGTCTTTCTAAAAAGATGAGAACCAAATTAGATGACGGGTTTAAAAATATGCCTATGTAATTTTATAGATCCATAATTTGATGAAAAAATCTCATAGAAGTGGAATGTTTCTTTGAGCAAAATGAAGAGAGTGTTTCATTTCCATTGCTTGAAGAATCCATTCTCGTGGCATGATTTTCTTTATGACTGATATCAAATGGGACTTAAAAAGATATAAACTAAAATAACACAAAGGAGAGGAAGTAATTTTTCTCTTAATACTCTTTTATATATATTTTCTATTTTTTTATTTTTTTTCTAATAAACTTACTAATTTTATTCAAACTTAATATACCAATCCATCATGGTTAGTTACATATTTATATGCTTGAAAGTAGATAACACTTATAGGCTAAGTAACTATATGGCGGTGATGAAACGGTGGTACAGCAACATGCATGGACTTGAGTTGCTACTAGCTAAGCAAGCATAGATAAGACTCAGTGATTAAGGAAAGCTTAAAATATCTAACTAATGGGCTTGTAGTTATCATTCCAAAAGATCTAGAATTCTCTTGATTTGTCTCTTACAATGATCTTAGTAATCACAAAGAAACCTATCCAATTAGTAGTATTGCTGGCTGAAAATATAAATGGCCTAAGAAGTTAGACAGTAACCTCATCAAGAGAGAACTCTTCTGTCTGCTTTAGAGAATAAGGTGGTTCCACAATTGTGCCTTCGGGCATTGAAAGTGAAACTCGCCAACTGCATTGAAGATTTTGCAGCACAAATGTTATACTGAATTGATGCATTAATTACAACCATTATTTTGAATTGAAGTTGCTATCATGGTTCTAGTTTCAACTGCGTGGCAATTACAAAAATTATAACAAATAGCAGGAAATTTAAGAAGGGGTTGCACTGAAACTTACACTTGTTGTTGGATCATTAGAGATATGATAGTATAACAAACATAACTCAATTAAAATATCTATTTATAGAAGTCTATTGTTTTAACATAGATGAGAAATGGATATTATGCTTTCCAAGTAACTACCATAATTAAGACATTTAATAATGTTTTGAAAATCTAGTGCAGAGAGACACAAGGTCTACCAGAGTTGAATATGCAAAATTATACGATAATATATACCTATCCAAACGATAAACTGGACCAATACTAGCCTTGTGAAGAGTTCTCTTAATAGCTGCTTTCCATGCAAATGGAAATGAACCACCCTTATAATAAAACAATGAACGCGAAAAATTAGCATAGTAGACAAGATTCATTTAACACAGTTTCTAGGTGTCTGAGTTCTTACCCAACCAAAACACCTAGACAGGTCATTTCCTGTACCAAGTGGTATGATTCCTACCGGAGGAACTGGTTCGCGGCCCAGTGTGTTAAGTTCAGTGAGACATCCTAATACCCAGCCAACTGAACCATCACCTCCCGCAACCTACAAAGGCAACTATCTATGAAGCGATTTTATACAGTTAATCCTTTCATGACAAGTAAAATAAATGTTTATTAAGATACCATTATCCTTATTCTGTCACGTGTCTCTTTGGCACAAGTATCACCAGAAGCAGCTAATGTCTCCAAACAACCTAACCCATACTGGATAAACTCATGAGGCTTGATATCTAGTAAATCAAAAACCTGCACAATAACTATGAATGCGAATTTAGGTTAGGTGATTCAAGTTAGAAAGTAAAGTAAGTAATTAACAGGTGTGGTGTGACCTGTTCGTCACTCATGAGATCCTGGAGCCTTTCCATGAGGTCAGGGCCATGGCGGCCACCACTGCGGGGATTAATGAAAACAACCATTGGCGTAAGAGGAGCGACATCATTCTCTAGGCCTCCGTCACGAATACAACCGCCCTCGCCAGCGTCGGGATCCTGCGACCGGATTGAGTCACGCATTGCGGTCCGTAGGTACTGAGGCATGGTGAGACACCGCTTTAGCTCCTCCTTGTCGACGCGCGTACTAGTCATGCCGCATCCCCTTATTGACTCCACGATGGAAGACCTTGCCAATATCTTGTTGGCATCTCCCGTGGTCGACGACGACGATGACGACGGCGAGTTCATTGTTTCACACACCGATCCGATTCGGAGAGATATTACCTATTGCGAACGACGCGTTCATGAAAATTGAAATGATAAATTTATTCAATGTTAATAATAATAATAATAATAATAATACATGCATTGCATTGCATTGCATTGCATACATACACGGTGATGATGAAACTATGGCGTGAGCGTGAATGTGATGATTCCATACATTTCAGGAGATGAAGATGGAGAAATGTGAAGGTAGAATTTGGTTTTGTATCAATATGAATATTTACAATTATAACAGAAAGGGGAAGCAGGGCTGACCTGTTGGCCTATATAACAAGGCGAAGAACAACGGCGAATCAAGGTTACAGTTTTAAATAAGACGTGGCCTCGTCTATTTCGACAACCAACTTCCTTTTTCGTTCATTAAATGTAAAAATATTTATTTAATTGCTATGCACATTTATATATCATATGGATCCAAATCCATGTTAAGTGCAAGACAATGATATTAAAAGTTTAAGTATATATTATGTTTGCGGAAAGTTGGCTCGCGATACTTAAAAATCGTCATCGAAGAAATTGTCAGGTTGAATTGTAGACGATGTCGCTTTCTTTAAGACCACGACATCTTTAGTATAAAACAAATTAATTTTATATTGTACATTTACTATTTCCACGGTAGATAATCAGTTTAGAAATACATTTTCTGAAGGTACAAAGATCATTTAAATATGGGATAAATAACATTTGTAATATCATATATAACTGTTTTGGATTTGACAATCTCAAAACTTAAGAAGAACCTCAACTGACCAAGGTCTTTGATCTTGAATTGTTGATCTAAAAGATGTTTAACATTTTGAATCTCATGGATTCAGTCACCTGCCAACACAATGTCATCAATATAGACTAATAGTGCAGTAAAGTTATGTTGATCAATTTTGATATATAGAGAATGGGCAGCTTGTGATTGATGATAACAAACGCAAATTAGAAAGGAAGATAGTTTGTTGTACCATTGTCAGCTGGCTTGTTTAAGGCCATATCGAAATTTTTGTAGTTTGCAAACCTTTGGTTCATGAAGTCCAAACAACCCAGGTGGAAGAGTCATATACACTTCCTCATGTAAATCACCAAGGAGAAAAACATTGTTTACATCTAATTGCTCAAGAGGTGTAGTTGTTTAGGTATTGGCTTGCATTTTTGGTAAAATCCAAGTGTATGTGTGAATGTCATGACTGATGTCATAACATTCTAGTTTAGTTTGTACTGATTCATTAGGTACCTTTGCAGAAAAATATTGTCATTCAGGTACTGATGTTTATAAGTGTGTATCTGAGCATTTTGCAAAATGATCACATTTTCCTAAATCAGTAGACAGGTTCCTCAGATGTCATAACAGATGTTAAGACATCCTGTTCTGAACTAACAGGTATGCAGGTTGGTTAATTCTGAGTTTTTTCAGGAAAATAACTCAGTCTTTCCAGAACAGAATCCTGCGTATTCTGAGGGTTAACCTAGCTCAACCCTAACCTGGTTAATAAAGTCCCGTGACCTAGTCTTAAGGTCAAACGGAATTAAACCTAGGTTTTTGTGGAAACCCTAACTGAAGTTGCAGCTGCTATATATTCAACAGAGCTGCTGTTTTGCAAGCAATCCCTTCTTGGTCAGAAGATCATTTGTAAACTGTATAGGTTTAATTATTGTACTCCAAGCAATTATCATTGTGATAAGTGACTTGGAATAGGTTTTTAATTGTAAGGGTTGTGTAGCACTCAAAGCTTTGAAGCAAGAGTGTTTGAATGTTTCTTGACTAAAGCTGTGAAGCAGAGTCAAGTCAGTTTTGTGTATCACTCAAAGCTGTGAAGCAAGAGTGGTTGTGTTGCTTGATTAAAAAGTTGTGAAGCTTAATCAAGTGTATGTTTTTGAAGAGTGTCTTCATCTATTCATTAGTCAAATTGTTTTATGTATCACTGCTGTGATTGAGGGGGAGTGAGTAGGAACTCAGGTTTAAGTTGTACTTAGATTGAAATTGCATTGGGTAGGTCTTAAGTGAAGGAGATAAACTGGTTGGTTTATTCCTGAATTAACATCTCTTATAGTGGATTTCCTCCCTGGCTTGGTAGCCCCCAGAGTAGGTGTTGTTGCACACTGAACTGGGTAAACAATTGACTGTGTTCTTTATTGTTTTTGTATTTACTGTCATATAGTAAGTCAGATACGGTGTCATAACATTGAACGTGACATTGAGTATCTGCAGCCAGAATTTCAATTGGCATCAGAGCAGGCACCCTGCCTGTATTACTGGGTGAGATCTAGGGATATCACTTTCTGGCACTATGGACAAAGAAGGAGTTTTTGGAAATAGACCACCCATTCTGGATGGAACTAATTATGACCACTGGAAACCTCGTATGATTGCCTTCCTAAAATCTCTGGACAAAAAGGCTTGGAGAGCAGCTGACAAAGGATGGATCCATCCCACCATAACTGAGAAAGATGGGATAATCAGTCTGAAGCCTGAGGAAGATTGGAGTAAAGAAGAAGATGAGTTAGCCCTGGGAAATTCCAAAGCTTTAAATGCCTTGTTCAATGGAATTGATAGAAACATTTTCAGACTAATACATCAATATGAATTGGCCAAGGAAGTTTGGGACACTGTCAAAACTACTCATGAGGGCACTTCCAAAGTAAAAATGTCAAGGCTTCAGATGTTGACTACCAAGTTTGAGAATCTAAAAATGATGGAAGATGAAACCATTCATGAGTTTCACATGAACATCTTTGTAGGTGTTTAGGTATTGGCTTGCATTTTTGGTAAATCCCAAGTGTATGTGTGAATGTCATGACTGATGTCATAACATTCTAGTTTAGTTTGTACTGACTCATTAGGTACCTTTGCAGAAAAATATTGTAATTCAAGTACTGATGTTTATAAGTGTGTATCTGAGCATTTTGCAAAATGATCACATTTTTCTAAATCAGTAGACAAGTTTTCTCAGATGTCATAACAGATGTCATGACATCCTGTTCTGAACTAACAGGTTTGCAGGTTGGATAAGTCTGAGTTTTTTCAGGAAATAACTCAGTCTTTCCTGAACAGAATCCTGCGTTTTCTGAGGGGTAACCTAGCTCAACCCTAACCTGGTTAATAAAGTCCTGTGACCTGGTCTTTAGGTCAAACGGAATTAACCCTAGGTTTTTGTGGAAACCCTAACTGAAGTTGCAGCTGCTATATATTCAACAGAGCTGCTGTTTTTCAACGTATCCCTTTTATTGATCAGAAGATCATTTGTAATCTGTATAGATTTGATTATTGTACTCCAAGCAATTATCATTGTGATAAGTGACTTGGAATAGGTTTCTAATTGTAAGGGTTGTGTAGCACTCAAAGCTTTGAAGCAAGAGTGTTTGAATGTTCCTTGACTAAAGCTGTGAAGCAGAGTCAAGTTAGTTGTGTGCATCACTCAAAGCTGTGAAGCACGAGTGATTGTGTTGCTTGATTAAAAAGCTGTGAAGCTTAATCAAGTGTTTGTTTTGAAGAGTGTCTTCATTAATTTTTAAGTCAAATTGGTTTATGTATCACTGCTGTGATTGAGGGGGAGTGAGTAGGAACTCAGGTTTAAGTTGTACTTAGATTGGAATTGCATTGGGTAGGTCTTAAGTGAAGGAGATAAACTGGTTGGTTTATTCCTGAATTAACATCTCTTATAGTGGATTTCCTCCCTGACTTGGTAGCCCCCAGAGTAGGTGTTGTTGCACACTGAACTGGGTAAACAATTGACTGTGTTCTTTATTGCTTTTGTATTTACTGTCATATAGTAAGTCAGATACGGTGTCATAACATTGAACGTGACATTGAGTATCTGCAGCCAGAATTTCAATTGGCATCAGAGCAGGCACCCTGCCTGTATTACTGGGTGAGATCTAGGGATATCACTTTCTGGCACTATGGACAAAGAAGGAGTTTTTGGAAATAGACCACCCATTCTGGATGGAACTAATTATGACTACTGGAAACCTCGTATGATTGCCTTCCTAAAATCTCTGGACAAAAAGGCTTGGAGAGCTGCTGACAAAGGATGGATTCATCCCACCATAACTGAGAAAGATGGGACAATCAGTCTGAAGCCTGAGGAAGATTGGAGTAAAGAAGAAGATGAGTTAGCTCTGGGAAATTCAAAAGATTTAAATGCCTTGTTCAATGGAATTGATAGAAACATTTTCAGACTCGTACATCAATATGAACTGGCCAAGGAAGTTTGGGACACTCTCAAAACTACTCATGAGGGCACTTCCAAAGTAAAAATGTCAAGGCTTCAGATGTTGACCACCAAGTTTGAGAATCTAAAAATGATGGAAGATGAAACCATTCATGAGTTTCACATGAACATCTTGGAGATTGCCAACACCTCAGGAGCACTGGGAGAAAAGATGTCAGAAGAAAAACTGGTGAGGAAGATTCTCAGATCCTTGCCTAAAAGATTTGCAATGAAGGTAACTGCCATAGAGGAAGCCCAGGACATTAGCAAGTTGAAAGTGGATGAACTTATTGGGTCTCTTCAGACTTTTGAGATGGGGATCACGGATAATGGTGACAAGAAGAACAAAAGCATAGCACTTGTATCCAACACTGATGTTGAATACAAGGAGGATGAAGAAGAAAACATATCAGAAGCTATTGCCATGCTTGGAAGACAGTTCAACAAGCTCATCAAAAGAATGGATCCAAAGTCAAGGTCTAATGTTCATAACATTCCCTCTGACATTGACAGTTCCAGCAGAAGACCAAGGTCAGAAGATAAGGGAAACCAAGGCAGAGGTATTCAATGCCATGGATGTGAAGGATATGGACATATTCGAGCTGAATGTCCTACCTTTCTTAAGAAACAAAAGAAAGGAATGACTGTTACTTGGTCTGACTATGATTCAGAAAGTAATTCTGAAGAAGAATCTGCCAAACTAGTTACTGGCCTAACTAGTGTTTGTACTTCTGAAAGTGACACTAGTGATGAAGAAGTGAC